AGTCTCAACGTCAACAGTGAAGAGGCGACTCCGGGATGCTGACCTAGGCAGAGTTGCAAAGAAAAAGCCATATCTCAGACTGGCCAGTAAAAATAAAAGATTAAGATGGGCAGCTGAGATATGGCTTTTTCTTAGCAAATCTGCATCCAAGAAGGCTCAAGGTCATTGGCCACAGATAAAATGACATCAATTTAAGTTATATCTACAGTACCTTTGATTGGACTGATCATGTCAACATCATACTTTGAAAATCTTAGCTAGCAAGCTAGCAGTCATTAGCATGAATCAAGTCGACAATCTACTGGCCAATCCTTTTCAATCCTTGTCATATGAAGAGAAATTATGAAGAGAAATTATAGATAAAACGTACCGGTGCTCATCGGCCATTGGACATAAACATTACACAACAAGTTGGAAATCGCAAATTCAATAATGAGTGGTTTGGAAGGAATCAATGGCTAACTGCAAGCATTGCAAAGCAATCACTAGTCTGCTATTCAGTGGAGTAGATGTGTGGTCCAAGTCTGGGTTTAAGGGTCTCTTTTCCAAGCTTAGAAGGATAAACATTCAACATTGGCCATGCTTTCAATCCAACATGGCTTCTGCCACTTTCAAAACAACTCGGAACTGGGAAATGTCAGACTTCAGTGAGTTCAAGACAACTGGGAACTCTAAAAAAAAAACGAGCTCCAACTGGGAAAATAGGTTTTGAACGGGCATCCGACTCGGAATTCCAAGTCGGGAACTTGGGCCTCTTTCTAGAGCTGAAGATCACTAATGTCATGATTCCACCTTGCTTTTTTCAGAGTTCCCAGTTGTCTTGAAAGTACTTTAAATCCAGAGAGTGCCAGACTTAATGACAAAGTTTGATTACAGAATTTGCCCACGAAGGACCGCCGTGCCACCTTCCAGTTCAAGTGAGCACAGCACAACAAGGTGAGTCCAAAAATTAATTGTTAGCTGCTGCATAAATCATGTAAAATGCCAGGGAGATATGTACACTGCTCAAAAAAATAAAGGGAACACTAAAATAACACATCCTAGATCTGAATGAATTAAATAATCTTATTAAATACTTTTTTTCTTTACATAGTTGAATGTGCTGACAACAAAATCACACAAAAATTATCAATGGAAATCAAATGTATCAACCCACGGAGGTCTGGATTTGGAGTCACACTCAAAATTAAACTGGAAAACCACACTACAGGCTGATCCAACTTTGATGTAATGTCCTTAAAACAAGTCAAAATGAGGCTCAGTAGTGTGTGTGGCCTCCACGTGCCTGTATGACCTCCCTACAATGCCTGGGCATGCTCCTGATGAGGTGGCGGATGGTCTCCTGAGGGATCTCCTCCCATACCTGGACTAAAGGATCCGCCAACTCCTGGACAGTCTGTGGTGCAACGTGGCGTTGGTGGATGGAGCGAGACATGATGTCCCAGATGTGCTCAATTGGATTCAGGTCTGGGGAACGGGCGGTCCAGTCCATAGCATCAATGCCTTCCTCTTGCAGGAACTGCTGACACACTCCAGCCACATGAGGTCTAGCATTGTCTGGCATTAGGAGGAACCCAGGGCCAACCGCACCAGCATATGGTCTCACAAGGGGTCTGAGGATCTCATCTCGGTACCTAATGGCAGTCAGGCTACCTCTAGCGAGCACATGGAGGGCTGTGCGGCCCCCCAAAGAAATGCCACCCCACACCATGACTGACCCACCGCCAAACCGGTCATGCTGGAGGATGTTGCAGGCAGCAGAACGTTCTCCACGGCGTCTCCAGACTCTGTCACATCTGTCACATGTGCTCAGTGTGAACCTGCTTTCATCTGTGAAGAGTACAGGGCGCCAGTGGCGAATTTGCCAATCTTGGTGTTCTCTGGCAAATGCCAAACGTCCTGCACGGTGTTGGGCTGTAAGCACAACCCCCACCTGTGGACGTCGGGCCCTCATACCACCCTCATGGAGTCTGTTTCTGACCGTTTGAGCAGACACATGCACATTTGTGGCCTGCTGGAGGTCATTTTGCAGGGCTCTGGCAGTGCTCCTCCTGCTCCTCCTTGCACAAAGGCGGAGGTAGCGGTCCTGCTGCTGGGTTGTTGCCCTCCTACAGCCTCCTCCACGTCTCCTGATGTACTGGCCTGTCTCCTGGTAGCGCCTCCATGCTCTGGACACTACGCTGACAGACACAGCAAACCTTCTTGCCACAGCTCGCATTGATGTACCATCCTGGATGAGCTGCACTACCTGAGCCACTTGTGTGGGTTGTAGACTCCGTCTCATGCTACCACTAGAGTGAAAGCACCACCAGCATTCAAAAGTGACCAAAACATCAGCCAGGAAGCATAGGAACTGAGAAGTGGTCTGTGGTCACCACCTGCAGAACCACTCCTTTATTGGGGGTGTCTTGCTAATTGTTGTCTATTCCATTTGCACAACAGCATGTGAAATTTATTGTCAATCAGTGTTGCTTCCTAAGTGGACAGTTTGATTTCACAGAAGTGTGATTGACTTGGAGTTACATTGTGTTGTTTAAGTGTTCCCTTTATTTTTTGAGCAGTGTATATTGTAGCTAAGAAAGTAATACTAAGTGTATGTTGTGTAGTAAACTGTTAGTCGCCCATGTGCCTCACCCTAAATATTTGGTCCCTTTCCCCTCATAATTTAGCCTACTGTTCTGACTTGGTGGTGCACACACTGTAAACGTTATGCTTTACTAGCACAAATATATTGAGTAGACTGACCTTAAATATTTCCAAATGTTTCACATTGGACATTCATTTGCAATTGTAACATAACAAAACCTGATTTTTATAAGTAAGCATAACATTTGTTTTGCTTTAAGTACCTTGAACTCAATTGATTTCACTTCCTCACACATAAAAAATGGTATCTTTCAAACAACAGTTATTTAAGTCATTTTGCACACAAATGTATTTAGTGCAATTTACATAAAAAATATATATTTATTTTACATGTGATATTTAGTTGGCATTTGTAACATTGTAATTTTGTGTTCAAATCAGGTAAACATATTGTGTGTTTACAACTTACATTTTAATTGTCAACCTTGAATTATATATATTTGTTCAGCTGACTTCGCAATAAAAGTATTCTGACCTTGCTAATTTAAGTACTTCTGTAGCACTCAAATATGAAAGTAGGCTAATTTGTTGATTTATAAGTCCATGTCAGGTGAACATAACAATTGCAATGGGTGTGCACAAAAACGTTCAATAAAAAAATATGATATGGATATTAGAGCAAGTTTTTTGTGTTGACTTCAATTCTGAATATTGTGTCTTCAACTTACAACTTATTTATCTAATATGGTTTTCGTCCAGCTGACTTCGCAATAAAAAATAGCCTAATTTAAGGATCATTAGCTAACGTTACTTGCTACTGTTGTAGCAAATTGTCTTTGTCCTCAGTCAAACACAAAGTATTTCAGAGTTTTTGTAGAATTAAGATATACTTTATTACACAAGCAATAGAGCCGAGGTGGTCTGCAGAGCATCTGATTGTCCACCTCCCAGCTCTCAGTTTATATAGTAATTTTACATACATGTTTTATCTTAACCCCTCCCTCTTGGGTTCCACCACCACTGTCTTCAGTTTCCCCTCTTGACCGCTCCACCCACTTCCTTAGTTTATGATAGTGGCACAATCTGATTTCTATTCAGTTTAGAAACAATGGTGGTGTGACCAATCAAGCTTTGTCATGCACAAATAACAGCCCTGTCATGTAAAAATAATCATGTTCAGTTTGAACTTTGTTCAACCCTGGCTCACCCTGGCTTAACCTGGTATGGATTGTGGACAACATGGCAGGCCCACAATCAATCTCTCAAACATACCCAAGCCTAACCCCTCTGTCCCAGCCATCACGCTATAATTTAATCAGGAAGACGCTCAAGGAGAGACGTTTCAGTCACTGAAGATAAGACAACCGAAGACAGGTCAGATGACCAGAGAACAAACACATAAACCCAGTGAGAGAAACCAATTACGTTCTTGCCTAGCAACAGAGATGTATCAATGTTTAACCCTAGCTCTGTGTTAGTTGATTAACCATGTCTATCCCATAGTCCACTGAAAAATCCTCATCATATGGTTAAAATCTAACAGAGCCATTTCCTGGCTCTGTTTCACAATGTTTCAGGCCTCTTCTTGTCATGTTGTGATTAACTATTTAACCATACATTGTTAGCTTGTCATGATGTAATTAACTAGGCTTACTATGCTTAAATGGAAAATCCCCATCACTTCCTGCTAAGAATGTTCAGGGTTCGCCTGCAGCGTTGCGATTACTTCCATTGTACTTGCTCATTTACGATTACGTTGCCACTGCTAGCAAACGACAATACTTTTGTTGCGTGTGGCCACCGACATCACTCAAAACAGCTTCACATTCACATATTATGGATATACTTAATTCGAGCATATGCATATTAATTCCATTACTACTTATTAAATTACAGTCTTGACATCAGTCGTCTTAACGTAATTGTTATTATGTTCTCTCTGGTTTTGCAGAAATGGATATGACATCATCTCCATTCAAACTTAGTGATCTTGGAGGAAGGTGGAATTGAAAGAATGATGATACCAAAACGTCCAGCCTCGGTTGACCAACTTATCATTTTATTGAGGCAGCAATTTTACATTCCTTACACCATTGACATTCAATTTCAAAACTCACGGTCTGATTCACAGTTTTGCAAGCTGACCTGCATTGATGATCTGCCAAACAGGGGCACAATTAAGCTTTTTATATTGGAGGTTTCCATGACTGGCTCTGGGGTGTCATTGAGTAATCCACACTCATCAACTTCACAGCATCCAGGACAACCGAGTGACAACTTTGAGGTGCCAACCTTTTCACATGATCTTGAATTGTTACTGAGAGAGGGATATCAAGGATATGACCAATTTGGAAGACAACTGGTGTTGACCAGAAACCAAAGAAAACTGATGTTTGGATGGCGTGGCAAAAGCTATGTATGAGAGGAATGAGTATCCAAGTGAATGTGACTTTGAAGATGATGCAGAAGCCTTAGTCCACCAACATAAATGCCTTGCTGACAATGGGTCACCAAAAGGGTGGGAGGGATGGAAGAATGGCCTTAAGTTTAAAGTAGGCAAATACAGAACAAAACTAGGCAGAGAAAGGTGTCCTGAGGTCGGTAGAAAAAGTGCCAAAGAAATCCAGAACCACCACTAAAACACACCGTTTACTGTGGCCCAGTCAACCTCTCACAGCTCCCTCATTGAAAAGTTGAAGCAGATCTGGAAAAGCTAAGGACCGATATTGCTCTTGAGATGAAGAAGACACACAAAGACTTGGCTGTAATCAATCGCTGTATGGGAAAGACATTTGCCCTGAGAAGACAGGAGATTCTGAACAGCAGTCCTGAACTGTGGAGAATAGATGGCCGGCACTATTTCTAGAGTCACAGGTATTGCTTTGGCCTGGTGGCAGGGTTTACATTATGTTACAATGTCTAAAACGGAGGGAATGGAGGGTAAGTGTGTCTGTGTGTGTTTGGTCAGTTTCCTTGGTCTGTGCGGGCACTCTCCCTATTTATAATTTTTTTATTTCATTTTTTACTATTTTCCGAACCCCACCTGCAGTGTACATAAAATTGGTTTGGGGTGAAATGTTAGTAAAATGGGTGTTGTCTCGATTAGGGATTGAGCCTATGGATAGCCATATTGGTTTAAAAGCACGTTGCCTGTATACTTTTCCCATTTGTCCTTTGCAAGTTGATTTATTAATGTTCTGTCTGTATACTGTTCTATGTAAGTTTATGTCAAATGCATTACTTGTCCACAGAGTTATGGGGACAATGTAAATGGTTGTTTGGCTAATGTGTGAAATGCATTGTCTTTGAGAGTTAATGTTAAGCCTGCTTGCTTGCTAATGATGCATTTGCCTGTTCTTGCAGACCTTGGGACAACTGTGCAGTATTTCACCTTTGCCATAGACCTTGTAGAGAAAGGTAAGTTGTCAACAGAATTTTGGCCCAATAACAAAAGGCTTAATATACGTTTATATAATGAGGTTGTTAACCAAAGATCCAATAGGCATAGAACAGTATACATCCCCATTCTTTAAGCTCTACAATAAATCAAGTCAAAACATGCTAACCTTAGAGTTAAAGGCATACTAGAGTAGTTTCAAATTTAGCTGCTTTTCAGTCACCCCTGCTGATTAATTCGAACTATTTTAAAGTCCATCAATCTTAGGTTAATGAAATGTCTGAATTACACTGTGAAAGTGGATGGTTTGGATGAATCGGGAAAAACACTACAGAAAAGAATGTTAACATTTGTTGGTTGGCCCTGAATGCAATAATATATCCAAACAGGCGTCTGAGTTATGTGCATATAACTTAAATTGTAAATAGCTTTTTTGAATTTCTATAATAAAGTGCATGAATTGTTTCCACTTCCATTTTTGCAGACATCCATCAACCAAACATGCTGTGGAACTGTAAACGTTTTTCCTACCATTCCCAAGGAAATCTTCTCAAACACTACCGTTTAATACATAGTCCTTTGGCATGTTTGTATGAAACCTGCATCTGCACCTTTGGCTCTTTGAATTCACAAAAAATTCATTTGTCAAGACTCCATGCACCGATACGTGCATGTTCAGCTGTCGAGACACATTTGGCGTTCCACTGCCCAATTTGTGCTTTTACACAACCATTTGATGAGAGAGAGCTTTTTGTCACATTTAAGAGCACATGTGAAGAATCATGAAATGGTTCAGTGTCCAGTTAAAGATTGCACATTAAAACAAATGTGTCAAGAAACCATTCCTCTTTAAGCTCTACTGATTTCAAAGTTGGCATTGTGAGACAAGCAAGTGAGTCCCTAGATGGTTTTTCTCAAAGCCAAATTACAGATGTTGCAGGTAGCTCCAAGGATGATGAATCAAATGCGCGGGATAGCACACCTTCTCTTAAACAGCAGCTGCAGCAAAACCTGGCCTCCTTGCTGTTAAAATTACAATCACTTCTTCATGTGTCACAAAGTGCAACTCAAGAAATGCTAGTGAACTTGGATCAACTGCTCTTACTATCTAAACCCCTAATGAAACAAACAGTCTCGGAAATTCTAGAAAAACATAATGGTAATGTGAGCACTGATGTCGTCAAGGAAATTGTGAATGGCATAGTAGACAATGACGTTCTTCACAGTTGTACTTCAAAAGATGGACCTTTGTCAACAGCATAAAGAAGGAATACTTATTATGATAGGAAATTCCCTGTGGTGAAGCCAATTGAGTACACCACAGATGGTGCAAAACATTCCATAATGTATGTCCCCATCCTCACAATGTTACAAGAATAAAAAATGTATGTTTTAGAGCAAGCAATGAAGAAGCTGCACAACAAGGTGGCCAGTATGCATCATATCGTGATGGATAATTTTGTAAAGACAATGAAATGCTTTCTAGTGAGGAGTTTAAGGTTGCTGTTCAACTCTATATTGATGATTTTTAAGTAGCTAACCCACTTGGTACATCAAGAAAAAAGCACAAAATATGCTGTGTTTACTGGACTTTAGCCAATATTCAACATTGCATACAATACAGCTAGCATTGCTATGCAATTTCAGTGACTTGAAGACTTGTGGATATGCAAAGGTTTTGGAGCCACTGTTGAATGACTTAAACATTGTGGAAACAAAAGGTTTATATGTTGACACTTTTGGAGAATGTGTTCAAGGTACAGTGTATGTTGTGGCTGATAATTTAGCTGCACATGGACTTGCAGGGTTCAAAGAGAGCTTTAGTGGAAAATACATTAGCAGATTTTGTCGGGCAATGAAGGAGGACATTCAAACATATGAGGCAAGGACTTTCGAGATGAGAACAAAAGAAAGCCTTGATAATTTATGTAACGATATACAGTTGAAGTCGGAAGTTTACATACTCCTTAGCCAAATCCATTTAAACTCAGTTTTTCTAAATTCCTGACATTTAATCCTAGTAAAAATTCCCTGTCTTAGCTCAGTTAGGATCACCACTATATTTTAAGAATGTGAAATGTCAGAATAATAGTAGAGAGAATTATTTATTTCAGCTTTTATTTCTTTCATCACATTCCCAGTGGGTCAGAAGTTTACATACACTCAATTAGTATTTGGTAGCATTGCCTTTAAATTGTTTAACTTGGGTCAAATGTTTTGGGTAGCCTTCCAAAAGCTTCCCACAATAAGTTGGGTGAATTTTGGCCCATTCCTCCTGACAGAGCTCGTGTAACTGAGTCAGGTTTGTAGGCCTCCTTGCTTGCACACGCCTTTTCAGTTCTGCCCACAAATTTTCTATAGGATTGAGGTCAGGGCTTTGTGATGGCCATTCCAATACCTTGACTTTGTTGTCCTTAAGCCATTTTGCCACAACTTTCGAAGTAGGCTTGGGGTCACTGTCCATTTGGAAGACCCATTTCTGACCAAGCTTTAACTTCCTGACTGATGTCTTGAGATGTTGCTTCAATATATCCACATCATTTTCCTTCCTCACGATGCCATCTATTTTGTGAAGTGCACCAGTCCCTCCTGTAGCAAAGCACCCCCACAGCATGATGCTGCACCCACGTGCTTCACGGTTGGAATGGTATTCTTCGGCTTGCAAGCGACCCCCTTTTTCCTCCAAACATAACGATGGTCATTATGGCAAAACAGTTCCATTTTTGTTTCAATCAGACCAGAGGACATTTCTCCAAAAAGTATGATCTTTGTCCCCATGTGCAGTTGCAAACCATAGTCTGGCTTTTTTATGGCGGTTTTGGAGCAGTGGCTTCTTCCTTGCTGAGCGGCCTTTCAGGTTATGTCGATATAGGACTTTTTTTACTGTGGATATAGATACTTTTGTACCTGTTTCCTCCAGCATCTTCACAAGGTCCTTTTCTGTTGTTCTGGGATTGATTTGCACTTTTCGCACCAAAGTACGTTCATCTCCAGGAGACAGAACGCATCTCCTTCCTGAGCGGTATGACGGCTGCGTGGTCCATGGTGTTTATACTTGCGTACTATTGTTTGTACAGATGAACGTGGTACCTTCAGGCATTTGGAAATTGCTCCCAAAGATGAACCAGACTTGTGGAGGTCTACACATTTTTTCTGAGGTGTTAGCTGATTTCTTTTGATTGTCCCATGATGTCAAGCAAAGAGGCACTGAGTTTGAAGGTAGGCCTTGAAATACATCCACAGGTATACCTCCAATTGACTCAAATGATGTCAATTAGCCTATCAGAAGCTTCTAAAGCCATGACATCATTTTCTGGAATTTTCCAAGCTGTTTAAAGGCACAGTCAACTTAGTGTATGTAAACTTCTGACCCACTGGAATTGTGATACAGTGAATTATAAGTGAAATAATCTGTCTGTAAACAATATTTGGAAAAATTACTTGTGTCATGCAAAAAAGTAGATGTCCTAACCGACTTGCCAAAACTATAGTTTGTTAACAATAAATTTGTGGAGTGGTTGAAAAACAAGTTTTAATGACTCCAACCTAAGTGTATGTAAACCTCCGACTTCAACTGTAGAATCTGGCATAAGTGCAGAGAACTATTGTGTGAAGAGTGCTTGTGTTTTTTTCACAGCAACTACAGAACTTTCATACAACAAGTGGATTTCCTCCAGATATCCTTCATGATTTCCTAGAAGGTAGAAATGTCTCTGTGTCTACAATAATTAATTAGAAAGAAGTGTTTCTCGTTAAAACAATTGAACATTGCTATTGTCAAGTTTCCTTATGAGAACAGTGACAGAGTTGATCGACCTCAGCCTATACCTAAGAGCTTTGTAAAAAGAAAACGAGGCAATGGCCACGAAAATCTCACATTGCTTAGGCTGCTTCCTGCAATAATTGGCTACGAGGTACCAGAGGATGAGAGTGCTTGGGAGATTTTGATGGATTTGAAAGACATTGTGGAACTAGTATTGTGTCATGTGTTCACAGAGGAAGTGATTCAGTACTTGACTTTAAAGATATCCGATCATAGACAACTACTGCAGAAGGTATTTCCACATGTCCAACTGTGTCCAAAGTATCACTTCATTGAACAATATCTACAATTGTACATTTCTGGACGATCAGATTTGAAGGAAAGCATCAAGTATTTAAAAAGATTATACATGACGCACAAAACTTCAAGAACCTTAACAAAACCCTTGCGCAAAGACATCATAGAATGATAGCATATCATATCATATTTTTTAACACTCTTCCGACTGTAGCACAGGATTATATTCAGGAAATAACTGACAGCACCTCGGTGTACAGCACTTCACATGTTGTTGTAGACAACACACATTTTGTCAGTGGCATGTTTGTTTGCACTAGACTACATGGTGGTTTGCCCCAATTCAAACAAATTGGAAACATCATACTCGTCAACAATCAAACTCTGTTTCTATGCCAAAGCTGCCAGTCTTGGTATATAGAGCACCTGCGCTCCTATGAGGTGACAACAGAAGAGTCATATGTTGTAACAACACCATCAGATCTCCATGACTTCATGCCTCTAACTGCATACAGACTGAATGGACAACTTGTCCTTACTACTAAGCACTTCATACTTTTGAGCAGGCAGAAAAGTAATCTTTGTTCCTCTGTCCTACAGCGACTCAGACTGAGAGTCCACTTAGGAGACGGAGGCATTGAATGGGTGACACTCCCCTGTCGTCCAGATTCTGTCCCTCAACTGACTAATTTACTGCGTGACAAATTAGAAATTCCATACAGTGTCCTTGTCCAGTTTGAAGACCCTGATTTTGGTTGCCAGCTATGCAATCTGACCAGTATTCATGAACTACAAAACATGGGAACTGTCAAATTGATCAGAGTAATGGACTATAGCTCAACTTCCGACTCTGCAGGGAAAAGTGACAGTGGAGAGACCGACAGCTGCCTAACACCCCAAAGGGAAAGTGCATGGCCAGACGTGTTTGTGGATCCCAACTTTCCACATGACATAGATTTTGCTCTCAGGGAAGGCAATGAAGCTAAAGATCTGCATGGGAAATGCCTTACTTTAAACTAAGAGCAAAAACATACGATTCTTGAGGGCATGGCTAGAGCAATATTTGAATACAAGGCGTACCCTTGCAGCAAGGAGATTAAAAGTGCTGATGAAGCATTTGTTCAGAAACATCCATGCCTGGAAGAGTCTGGCTCCAAAAGTAGCTGTGATGGATGGAGAGACAGCTTGGTGTTCAAAATGGGCAATTTCAGAAGCAAACTCAGCAAGTCAGGGTGTCCAGAAGTGAAAGTTAACAGTGGCAAGAGAAGTAAAAGTAGCCCAGATGGCGACTCGCCACATTCAAAGATAAAGTGGCCTCGACAAGCAGAAGTAAAGCAGTTTTCAATTGCCTTTGTACTTTGTTTTAGGTATGTGCAGAGTACCATTGCATCACAAACCAGCAACTCCGGGATTCGTTTTATTCCATGTTGGACCAACACACAGAACGCTTGCTAGCCCTATCCAGAGAGAAGCAGGGAAAGACTGCAAGAAATGGACAGAAGATAGCTGCCATTCTGAATTTGTACAGTGATACCCTTACACAGATGTATAGTTCATGTTTCTCTGTAGCAACCACGTGACGTGAACACCGATGAAACTGTTGTCCTCAGATGTCTTCCAGCAATACTCCAAGAGGATGACTATGTAGTGTTCATAACATGCACGGTGGGTTGTGTTTGTGTGCGAAGTTGTTCAAATATTATTTGACCCAAAATAAAGGAGGGGAGAAACTACCTGTGTGTCTTCATAAGAGTTTATTGTGACATGATCATAATAGTTTCATGTTCTTTCTCAGGAGTGAACATCCCAAGACCCTGCACACATCAAGAGACCAGCAGCCATCATCTCAGTCATTGATGACAATGGAGATATAGCTGCTATGCCATTCCATCCAGGAAGAGTCTACGTGGTCCTTGAGGAAAAGGTGGTTATGAAGGATTTCCGGTGCTGGCCTGATGCACTTGTATGTTTGTACGGGCTAATGTACTCACTCCAACATGGATACCCGAATTGCATGAAGAACATGTTTGGGTTTATATAAAAAGTTTTGTTAAACTTGAATGGAGACAGAATGAAGCCAAAGGTCCTTGCTTTGAAAAACCAACTGTAAAATACCAATACCAAAAACATTTATGGTGCTAAACAATTGTAAATAGTTAAGTTATCCTATAAGGAAAAGAGATTAGGGACAAAAAAACAACAACTGAAGACGACTAAATGTTTTGTAGGCAAATGCCAACTAAAATGTCTGCCTGCATTTGATTTGATCTGTGCCTTAAGTCGAACCGGTCACAAAAATGAGAAAGTCATGCAATACTATTGGCCTTTAATCTATTGAGTCTTAACATGTACAGAGATACAAGACTAACTTGACTTCAGTTGGTGTAGAGTTTAATTGAAAGTGTTACTGTTTGGGGAAACTGAACATTGGCATTGTGAAGTTACCTTACAAATCAGTGATGAATTTGTTGGCCTCAGCCTAAATCCTTGTATATAGGAAGCTTTAGAGACATTGGCCACAAATCTCACATTGCTGACGTCATCATGCGAAAAATGGCTAAGGTCCCAGAGGATGAAAATGTATAGGGAATCTTCATGGAGTTGTAAGGAGAGGTATTTTGCATACCTGTGTAGTGTTGTGGACCAAGGAAGTTGGGGAAACAACGTTCGCACACACTGTCTACTTGCATTTAGAACGTGTATTTGTCTGTTTAATGATTCGGCCCTACACCTTAGTCAGAAATGAAGGTTTAGGACCGAAACATTGCCTGCATAAGCACATTTTATAATCTGCAAGTATAACTTTGTTTTGTAAACATAATGGAGTGAAAATTTGTCGTGGAGGAAGACATTTCAATTGTCAACATTAAACATTTTGTACAGTTAAATGTAGTCAAGTAGTTAGACTGTGGAATGGCACATCACTACCTCGTTATCATGATGTTATATCCTTCAGCACAGCTTTTAATTGAATGGAAGCTACCACATCAGTTGAAAGTGTTAATTGGAGAAGGGTCATTATACTGTGCTTATGTTTTAATAGTTAAGTTGTTGATGGGGAATGTTGCAATGTTACACAGTATTGAATTGATTTAAAGTTGGGGTTTTGTTATCTGAGCCTTTTAAAAGTTATAGCATATGTTAAAATGAATTGGCTTTCATCTATTGATAGAGCCTAAAATAGATGAATCATGTTTTGTGCATTCATGTAATTAGAGATGTGTGGTTCTGAAGACGCAGTGTTTTAAAGAAAATGTCATTTTATTTTTTAAGAATTAACTGTTGTAAAGCTGACTTGCTTTAGAGTAGTTGATTGGAAGAAAGAACTTGGATTTTAAGAGTAGTTTTTGACTTAAGATTTTGAAGTGCAGCTGGTTTCCACAAATTTTTTGAGTTACGTAAAAGAAACATCAAGTTACACAGGACTAAAATGTGATATTTTGTTTTTTACTGTTTTATGTTTAATTTACTAAATAAAAGTTGGATGCAAACTTGAACACGTTGATTCGGTATTTGCTGAATGCACTCCAAAGAATACAGTAAGTCATTAATTACAGTGATACAACATGAATGATTTAAGTTATTAATCAAGTGATATTAACATATGCAATATAGTAATATTACTTGGAATTGTAAGTAAGTTGCGCAAAAGTTACAGTTTGGATACTTAAACAATTTAATTCACAGTGACACGATAGAACCAAGTTAAGTGCCAAGTTGCCATGGCTTTAATGTTTTGAGTACAAACAGAACTTTACAACTAAAGTTATTGTAGGGAGTAAAAGCAAGTTAATGGACAGACATCTTTTAAGTATTCTGCACTCAGAAAAATATACTTCAACATGTTGCCCAGACTCCAAATATTTTAGTAGATTTAGCTCAAACTATTATGTTTATGTAACTGTGAAATTACCATTAGTGGACAAAAATTATTTCAGTGTGTGTTACACTACTAATCTACTTCATTTAGCAAACGATGTTGAGTACAATGTACTTAAAAGATCTCTACTTACTAAAACCTTTTGTGTTTAATCAACTTTAAATTGTGGCTCATTTGGGATCATGTGACACTTATAGTTTGAGTAAAGCCAGCTCTAACGTTCTAAGGAACTGTACTTTAGTATATTTGTGCAGCAGGTTTCCACAAAACTTTTGAGTAAAGATAACTAATAAGGGTTTACAGTGCATGTAGCCTATACCCTGTTTCAGAGAAATGTCATTGAATATTGTAAGATATTTCATTGTCTGCTTATATGCCCCCTTTATTTATCCTACAGTTCTGACTTGGTGTACAGGGAGAACACTGTAAGAACGACTCATGTTCTGAATTCTGTCGCTGTACATTTCAAAAGTGCTGAACAAATGGTTATATTAACTACGTCTGTCCTAGCTCGCTCATTAATGTCTTAATCACGGATTGCCTCTTATCTGCTCGTCGTCCCCTTATGCCATAGTTTGTACATCTCAATTGTCAGTAGAAACCACATTTGTTTAAGCAAGTCAGCCATATCAGCTGTGTTTTTTTTAAGGCAGTAAATGAGGCTGAATGAACTGTTTAGCTGCCAGACAAGGCTCCGCTGATAGCCAGGTGTAACAGTGGTAAGGTGTTGGGACTGCTGTTGGGACTCTGCTGTTGGGACAGCTTTATGTAGGCCCGAACAGTTTGTGGGCACCGTTTGTCACCGTTATGGTCCAATTACTGTATTGTTTAGTGTTGTGTTGTGGCTTTGCTGGCATTCATTTTTTTTTAAATGGGGAGTTTGCCCCACCAAGATTTACATGCTAAAATCGCCACTGGCCACCACCATGCTTCACGGTAGGGATAGTGTTAGACGGGTGATGAGCTGTATCTGGTTTTCTCCAGACATAGCGCTTTTGCATTCAAGCTAAAGAGTTACATTTGTCTTATCAGATGACAGAATCTTTTGCGTTATTATCTCAGTCTTTCACATGCCTTTTTGCAAACTTCAGGTGTGCTGTCATGTGCCTCTTTCTCAGGAGTGGCTTCCGTTTGGCCACTCTCCTATAAAGCCCAGATTGGTGAAGTGCTGTAGAGACTGTTGTCCTTCTGGCAGTTTCTCCCATCTCAGCCAAGGAACTCTGTAGTTCTGTCAGAGTGGTTATTGACCAAGGTCCTTCTTGCCCGGTTGCTCAGTTTGGTCGGACAGCCAGCTCTAGGCAGAGTCTGGGTAGTTCCATATTTTTCCAATTTCCCAATGATGAAGACCACTGTGCTCTTGGAAACTTTCAACACTCTCGAAATTGTTTTATACCCTTCCCCAGATATATGCCTCATACCAATTATATCTCAGAGATCTACGGATAGTTTACTGGACTTCATGGTATAGTTTCTGCTCTGACATGCACTGTCAGCTGTGGGACCTTATATAGACAGGTGTGTTTCTTTCTAAATCATGTCCAAACAATTGAATTGGCCAAAGGTGGACTCCAATCAAGTTGTAGTGACGTCTCAATGATGATCAAAGGAAATTAGATGCACCTGAGTTCAATTTTGAGTGTCATAGCAAAGGGGTGTGAATACTTACAGTACCAGTCCAAAGTTTGGACACACCTACTCATTCAAGGGAACCTACGGAATCCAATATGATTACTTTTGATTTCCAATACGAAAAAAGTAATCCAATAGGATTCTGATAGAGGTGACACAAAATCCTATGGGGTTGCAAGAATCCTATAGGATCCAATTCACCCATCTGTATCCAAAACCACACTGGCTCTGTTAATATCAGAGCTCTGTACAGCAGCTCCAATCTTAACAAAAATGTTATGAAATGTTATATCATCTCGGTCTGAGATCATCCTGCGACAACAATACACAGCTTGATAATGAATAGGCTATATTGGATTTGCAACTTTACCTTTGTTTTACATAGAAATTATAAATGACCTTAACAACGAAGACAGACTGATGGCAAGCACAAAACAGCCACATACTGTCATGTGTAGCCTATAACCGATTTATGTGTTATGGATTAAGTGCTACGAATGAAAATGCGAGTAAAACAAAAGGAACAAATTAATCCCCTGAAACAGAAGATTAACTCCTCCCTCACCGGATGCTGACATTCATAAAGGGAACTATTTTGTACGAAACTTTTCGCACCGTTGATTGGTGGCGATATTTAGAACAGTGATGTAATTCAATTGGAAAAGATTTCAGGACCATGGACCGCGCCTGCAGCATCCAACAGGCGCGTGCACGCGGTGGTTACTAAGGTACAGAATAACAGTATCAGTGGTGGCTACTATCACAGCAGTTAGCCTAAATTTGGTTAGATTTTGATCAAAAGAAGTTCAGAGTCTGCTGCATTTGGGAGGGGCGGCAGGTAGCTTAGTGGGTAAGAGCGTTGTGCCAGTTAACGAAAGGTCGCTGGTTCTAATCCCCGAGCCGACTAGGTGAAAAATCGGTCGATGTGCCCTTAAGCAAGGCACTTAACCTTAATTGCTCCTGTAAGTCGCTCTGGATAAGAGCGTCGGCTAAATGACGTGAGTAACATTTATATTCGCTCGCTTTCTTCTGCGTTGTCCTTCTAACCCTCACTGCATTTTCAGGTCATTTGTACCCCATGCGAAGACAACGTGCCCAGTTCCACCGCGCTCACGTCAGCTGTGAAAGTGGTACAATAATATCAACACATGAGGGAGTCTAGTCCGCCTGTGTGTGTGGATTTTAACTACCACATGGTGGAGCACAGCCTCGTCTAACTTTGTGCTGGCTTTAAAAACTGAACTGGGAAACAAAGTTCTACATTTGGAAAACATATTAATCAAAGCAAAAAGTGACTCAGAAGGCCCACATTTTTCGTCTCTCCTAAAAATGCCAACCACACGCTTGTGCCGCAAAAACAGATTGCGATGATTGTGCCCAACGTGAGCATCAGCGGCTGCACAAGGGCCAATAGCGCGCTGTGTGCGGGTGCTGGAGACAGAAATCTGGAAGCGTCATACCGCACCACCCTAAGCCCGACCGGGAACCTGATAGTCGCTGTGTGTTTGGGCTTTATTGGTACCTTCGGATTCCTCAACAACCTTCTGGTTCTCGTCATCTTCTGCCGCTACAAGGTGCTGCGCTCGCCTATCAACCTGCTACTGATCAACATTTCCTTCAGTGATCTGCTGGTGTGTGTGGTGGGCACTCCGTTCAGTTTCGCGGCAAGTACACAGGGAAGATGGCTCATAGGAAAAAGTGGATGTGTATGGTACGGCTTTGCCAATTCACTATTTGGTAAGTGTACTATATAGTTGCTTCATTATTAGCGTTTGGTTATGTTTCAAATGTGGTTGTAAAAGAGGTATAGGCTATCATCGATGCGGTGTACGCTTTTGGAATCTGGCCAGGACAATGCGTAAAGAGGGGATATATATATATGCTTGGTATTATTTTTTGACAGTTTGATTTGAATATCACAATTGCACATCGATAGACATCTGTTCTAACCGTGGCATCCAGGCCTAGATGAATGATGGGTCCTTTCTATTAAAACGTCCACATATCACCAATTAATATCTTGCTTCAACATCCCCATCTGAAGTCTCTGACTCATTTGTGATAGATAATAACCTGTAAAAATATATATACAGTACCAGTCAAAAGTTTGGACACACCTACTCATTCCAGGGTTTTTCTTTCTTTATTATTATTATATTATATTCTTTATTTTTACTATTTTCTATATTGTAGAATAATAGTGAAGACATCAAAACTATGAAATAACAGATATGGAATCATGTAGTAACCAAAAAACTGTTAAACAAATCAAAATATATTTTATATTTGAGATGCTTCAAAGTAACCACCCTTTGCCTTGATGACAGCTTTGCACACTCTTGGCATTCTCTCAACCAGCTTCATGTGGTAGTCACATGGAATGCATTTCAATTAACAGTTGTGCCTTGTTAAAAGTTAATTTGTGGAATTTCTTTCCTTTAATGCATTTGAGCCAATCAGTTGTGTTGTGACAAGGTAGGGTTGGTATACACAAGATAGCCTTATTTGGTAAAAGACCAAATCCATATAATGGCAAGAACAGCTCAAATAAGCAAAGAGAAACGACAGTCCATCATTACTTTAAGACATGAAGGTCAGTCAATATGGAACATTTCAAGAACTTTGAAGTGCAGTCGCAAAAACCATCAAGCGCTATGATGAAACTGGCTCTCATGAGGACAACCACAGGAAAGGAAGACTCAGAGTTACCTCTGCTGCAGAGGATACGTTCATTAGAGTTACCAGCCTCAGAAATTGCAGCCCAAATAAATGCTTCACAGAGTTCAAGTAACAGACACATCTCAACATCTACTGTTCAGAGGAGACTGCGTGAATCAGGCCTTCATGGTCGAATTGCTGCAAAGAAACCACTACTTAAGGACACCAATAATAAGAAGAGACTTGCTTGGGCCAAGAAACACGAGCAATGGATATTCGACCAGTGGAATTCTGTCCTTTGGTTAAAATTTGAGATTTTGGGTTCCAACCGCCGTGACTTTGTGAGACGCAGAGCAGGTGAAGGAATGATCTCCGCATGTGTGGTTCCCACCGTGAAGCATGGAGGAGGAGGTGTGATGGTTGTGGGGGTGCTTTGCTGGTGACACTGTCAGTGATTTATTTAGAATTCAAGGCACACTTAACCAGCATGGCTACCACAGCATTCTGCAGCGATACGCCATCCCATCTGGTTTGTGCTTAGTGGGACTATCATTTGTTTTTCAACAGGACAATGACCCAACACACCTCTAGACTGTGTAAGGGCTATTTGACCACGAAGGAGAGTGATGGAGTGCTGCATCAGATGACCTGGCCTCCACAATCATCCGACCTCAACCCAGTTGAGACGGTTTGGGATGAGTTGGACCGCAGAGTGAAGGAAAAGCAGCCACCCCTAAAACAGAGCCTCCCCATTAGCCAATACAGTCGCATACGCAGGATTTGTAGTACACATCGTTATAAAAATAGGGAACATTATAAAACAGGGAACGTTATAAAAATATGACCCAGGATGACAGCCTCACGCCCAAACCTCCCCACTCTCCTGACCAACGCGTTCAATGCTTCCTTCAGTACTCCCCACTTGGTAAACAGTTCGACCACATCATTAAAAAATCACTGGTACATCTTGAGCACTGATCCACAACTAGAAAATACGTTTAAAGGACCCCGCGGGTAGTTTTCAGACGCGCCGCCAACATCAGTCAAATGGTGGTGAGGTCTGATCTTCCACCAGTGCCACGCAGTACCTTTCTAGACAATGTTCCGGACGGTAACTATGGATGTGGAGGATGTACTCAGTGTAACTTCACAAACAAATGTACAATGTTCAATCACCCTATTACGGGCAAGGCCATTAAGATTAAGGGCATCATTACATGTTCCACAAAAAAATTGATATACCTGATCAAGTGTATTTGTGGTCTATGCTATGTAGGAAAAACGAAACGAGCTCAGAAAACAAGGATAGCAGAACACAGGAGTAATATCAGGACCCTTCACCAGAGAAACCCTGTGGCTGCGCATTTCATGGAGGCTCGTCACAACATCAGCTCTTTGAGATACATTGGCATCGAACATGTTAAGACTCCTAGGAGGGTGGGATATACTGATGATCTATTATTGAGAAGAGAATTGTATTGGATTCACCGTTTGTGTACCATGTCTCCTAGAGGTCTGAACCAAGAGTTTGATATCAGACCATTTCTTACATGAATATGTCACTTTACTTTGATTTGTCTTGCCTTCCAGGTTACCCACTTGGTCATTTTGTAAATATATATTCTTTTCTGGAACTACTACATGTACCCATCTCATTGTTATTAAATTATTACATTATTAGAGATACACAAATGTTTTTTGCACCCACCATGCGTCATGTCCGCAATGGTCATGTGAGGTGAAATTTGTACATTTTGGGATGTGAGCACTCAGTTTGTTTGACCTGATGAAGATCAGTTTCGGATCGAAACGTTGTCAGGCGTTTCGATCCTTCAGGCTCTGATCAGTCCCTACACCCAAACGAGGGCATTGCGTTCATCCACCTCTGGCCTGCTGGCCCCCCTACCTCTGCGGAAGCACAGTTCCCGCTCAGCCCAGTCAAAACTGTTCGCTGCTCTGGCACCCCAATGGTGGAACAAGCTCCCTCACGACGCCAGGACAGCGGAGTCACTCACCACCTTCCGGAGACACTTGAAATCCCACCTCTTTAAGGAATACCTGGGATAGGATAAAGTATAAAGTAATCCTTCTACCCCCCCCCCCCCCCCCCCACTCTTATCCAATGCACCAATTTGTAAGTCGCTCTGGATAAGAGTGTCTGCTAAATGACGTAAATGTAAATGTAATAAAGTGGTGAATTGGGAGCTTTAAAGGTGTGCGGGCCTTCTTGTTCTATACTAGTGTTCTCATCTTAAACTCAGGCATTCAGAATACAAGATTAAACATGATAGTCAGCTTTTTCCAGTCATTTCCAACCAGGAGATCATCTATATCTAAACACTAGTGGTTACATTCCCATCATCATTAGAAATGTATGTGACCTTCCATGCCTTTTATTCAGTTCAGTGTTAGGAATGTCTGTCACCTTACCTACATTTCAGCACAACTGAACAGTACATTTCATTCAATAAATATTTTCAATTGCGTGGTGTTACATGTATTTCTGTTAACTCTCTCAGAGTGAAAAAGACGTGGGAGGGGCCTCATCATATTTCCCAGTATACTTTTTTGCAGGTAGATTTTTAGAATAGTTTGTTTTAATATCTATGTTTCCTCATGCACATTGATAAATTAATTGATCAATACAAAGATAAATAACTGACATTTTTCTAAACTATTCCAACCTGTTAGGTAGTCTTGTTTGTTAAGTTCTTCACCATAGTAGTTATTCTGAGTACAGGTTGAAGGTGATAAAATATTCAAATTCTTGGATATCCTCCCTCACTTCACAAACCAACGTATTGTGACATGCAGGTCTGATGTGGCCCATGAGCCAGGATTTTCAGACCACAATGTCGAGGATAACTAGGCCATAACTAAAGTCCTTATGTAATGTATAATATGTGGTCATAAAGGGTTTACTTTTAATTGAAACACATTCACTTAGGCAGTCACTTGGTGAAGGCTTCAGGAATAGAAGTTATTGAAGGCAACAACCAAGTTTCTGACACTAACAAACACAGTCATGGTGGGTATCGCTCTCATTCACTCGAAAGACACTCTAGGAAATATGAAAATACGTATTTTACACCCTACAGTGTTAAAACAACACCCCCAGTGTTTAGTGTTTAAAACCTAAACACCTTGTGTAGAATAAACGTGTTCATGTGTTTAAAAAGTTTTACAGCGAATAAACATGTTCTGGTGTTTACGATCTAAACACTATGACACGTTTTCATTGAAATTCTAAATTCCTTGATGCATTTAAAAAGTGTTACAGAAAAGTGTTTAGTTATGTGTTCAGATCATAAACACTTGTTTTTACAGTGTACCAGAGATTCAGGATACCATTGACTTAATTTCTTGCGATTTCAACCTAACTGAATTGTCCAATGTAATCAAGTCAACTCTGTGATGCTGTTTCACTCCCTCACAGATGTCTGGAGTTTAGAACTGTGCCATGTTGGCTTCTCATGAGTTAAATTGTCTGAGTGTTAGAAAATGAAGGTTATGTAAATACTCCAGTCAGGCTTATTCAGCGATATCGGATAATACAACATTAGGCTGCCTCTTTGTGTGGTTTTTACTGTTGTTTTTGGAGTTGGGCACCATCCTAATCTCTCCTAATTGCCCGAAACCCAGCTCTTTTGCTGCCTTGCACATTAAACTGTCCAAAGTGCATTAGTCCATCCAACCAGGCCTCAATAGGCTGTTAAGGAAGAATCACCAATGTTCCTGTGATCTGTTTGCCGATATAAACACACGTTTTATTGAAACTGGCCGTATGTGGGCTGCTCAGGTTGTTCTAGGCCAGAGCCAGTGCATATCCTCTTTTTATAACATCTCAGGCTCTCTGCTATCTTTATACAACAGTATTTAGCAGCTATAGCTCTTTTTAATAGTCTCCATAAAGCTTGTTTAAAAGCCCACTGGCAAATAATGTTTTAATGTGTCCAGACCTGCATTAATACCCATTGGCACCATTTGAAAATAAAATGTAATGTTTCAACCCAGTATGGCACATCCAAACCAGTTTTAACTGCCCCAATCACATCCAATACTAGTCCCTCTCTTTTGACGACACGTGATAAAAGCTGGAATGTCAGCCCCTAAGACATGTTGTCACAAAGATATATAAGTGTTGGTTTTCCATCTGTCCCTTGTGATTAAGAGATGCAGGCCGTGCAGAGACATTCAGGGGGGCTAAAGTTTAGGGTGGCAGGTAGCTTAGTGGGTAAGAGCGTTGTGCCAGTAACCGAAAGGTTGCTGGTTCTAATC